GTACAACTATGACACGAGAACTGCTCAATAGGACATCGCTTCGATGATGCGATTCGAATTCCTAAACACGACGGATCGCGGAGTAATTCGATCTCTTCTTCCTTTGATTCTCCTCCTACAGCACAACATCTGATCGAGTAAACGTAACCACAAGAGATAGACTCGGGGAGTAGATAAGAAGATCCGAGAAAAGGAAAAAAATTCCGAAGCGAAGAATCAGGAGAAAGTTGAGAACTTGAAGAACGCCGATGACCGCGGACACTTCCCGAGATGAGCCGAACACCGAAGAGCTGGATTCGAACCCTTTCGACCATCCTGCGATATCGAGGACGGCTTACCATTCACGAGGGAATGTGCTGAACTTCAGTTGTGTACTGATTAACACACGTTGGGTACATTGTTCAAAGTAGTGCGTAAATAGAAAATAAAGAAATGTAGTTATTTTATTATTAACATAATTGGATAACTATTGATGATTTACATCCATGCTTATACTATATAAATTAAGAATCAGTTAATTTAGCGAGCAGTAATATTTATTTCATAATTTGAACAATACCTTATTTCTGAATTGCAGCGTAAAAGTTTCCATTAATTTCTTAAATATTTTAACAATCACTATTCATTAGTAGAAGCAGTTTAAGTTCTGGTATATCAAAGGGCTATAACAATTATTGCGAAGTGCGTCGGTACAGAACAAAGACTAGACTGAGGTCGAAGTACAAGTGTAGGGTACAATGTTCAAAGTAGTGGGGTTATATTAAAATTTAAAAATTTGTTTATTTCCTAACATAATTGGGCCTTAATTAACTATGTATTTTCATGATTGTATCTAATATATATATATATATATATATATATATATATATATATATATATATATATATATATATATTAGATACAATCATGAAAATACATAGTTAATTAAGGCCCAATTATGTTATCTATATATATATATATAGATTTGGTAAATTCAACAAGCAGTAATATTTATTTTATAATTTGAGCAGTACCTTTTTCCAACATTGCAGCGTAAATTGTCATTACTTTCTTAAAAAGTTTAAAAGTCACTATTCATTTGTAGATGCAGTTGAACTTCTGGTTTATCAGATAGCTATAACAATGCGAAGTGCGTCGGTACAGAACAAAGACTAGACTGAGGGCGAAGTACAAGTGTAGGGTCCAATGTTCAAAGTAATGGGATTATATTAAAATTTAGAAATATATTTAGTTTTAAACATAATAGAAAAGTTATTAAATACACTTATATCAATACTTATAGTGCATAAATTAATTTGGTTAATAATTTGACACAGTACCTTGTCTTTAAATTCAGCGTAAATTGTTCACTACTTACTTAAATATTTTATAGGCACGATTTATTGGTTAATTAATGTTCTGATACATCGCAAAACTGTTATGATAATTGAAAACTTCATCTTTACGGATTTAGAATTACACTTGGAAGTACCATGCTCCAATTGGTACAGCAATGTGGAGTCAAAAGTTCAAATTAAACGAGTTAAATTATAATAAATTTATTTATTTCTAACACAACAGGACAATCGTTTGAAATATACTTTCAAGATTCTACATATACATATAAATAATTTAATAGGCAGTTACACTTATTCAAAATTTTAAAATGTATCTTATTTTTAAACATTTCAATTCCTTTCTCAAAGAGTTTCAAAATGATAGTTTATTTGAAGATGCAGTTTTAATTCATAAATATCGAAAAAATAAAATAAACAGAAAGATGTGCATAGGTACAAACCTGAAACTAAAGTAAATGAAGTTGGTGACATATTTTAAGTAGTAAGAGTACAGTATAGAAAAATAAAGAATTTAAATTATTTTCTTCCGCATCATAGACAATTGTTAAACATTTATGTACATGCTTGAAGTTATACAGGTATATGTATACAAAAGAATAGGTTAATCGAACTGCCAATAATAATAAATAATAATTTATTTGGAATTTTCATCAGTACCTTATTTCTAAAGTGCATAGAGACATATGAGTTTCTTTCTCGGATAGTTCAAACGTAGTAATTCATTATGAGTTGCAATGAACATCTTTCAAAATTAAATAAATAATAACGAATAATAAATAAATTTCATTATAACAGAATGCATTGGTTCATAGCTCACTGTGATGTGAAGCCGAAGTACAATTTTGGAACTTGCACGGACACGTAGGGTCCAAAGTCTAAACAATTATTTCTTAGAAAATATTTCAATTTGCATTTATTCACTCTTCTAATAGATCATAGAAGAATTGTTAAATATTCATGTGCATTCTATTAGTTTTATAATTTCATTCACTGAGGTATGGTTAATTTAAAAATAAACATTTATTAAATTCATCATTACCTTATTTTGTAATAACTGAGAAGCTTTCTCGTTATTTTCTCGAATATTTGTAAATTCTTAACTTCTTATTAACAGCAATAGACTTGAGTTATTTCTGAATTACTATGATTGTTACAAAATGCACCAGTACAAATTAACAATATTCTGAGGTGGCGATGCAGTATGCCAGTTTTACCACCCCTCAATAATAAATAATAGTATCATAATTTTGTTTTTAAATATCGTAAATACTTGTTCCAATGCTCCTTGAAAAATCTTAGAAATGCATATAAATGGTAGATTTTAAAAAATAAATTTAGTCGAGAATATAAAATTAACTCAAATTATTGCAACCATCGATGTCATATCTATGAATAAAATGATTCAAGAATATTAATACTTGTAAAATGGTAAAAGTACAATAATTTAAAAAGGGTTATAATTTTAACAATACATGAAGCAAGTTCCTTAATTAACCGCTGAACTCATCATTCTAAACTGGGCGAAAAGATGTCATCAATGAGTTCAGTGCTGCGTTTAGGAACTTGGTCATATTTATAAACATACATATTTCCCCATTATATTCTTTTTTATATATTAAAAAAAGGAAATTTTTTTTAAGGTAAGAAACAAGTTTACCAAAACAAAATATCAATGGAAGTATATTTCTTTTCAGAAACGAACTAACTCTCTTTAAACAAAGAATAAAATTAAATAAACTTTTTTTAAATTCAGACACTGCTGCTTTGTCCTGGAAAAGCGTTCTAGTCCGCTTTCAGTAGATACATTATTTATTCTGAATAAAAAAGTCTGGTGCGCACAACATATAACTTTCACTTACCGCTCAACTTTGAATAGAAATTATTTTCTGGCAATGTTGAGCTATTATAATTTTTTTAAAGAGCATTTTAAACGCAGCTAAAGCTTAATTCATTTAGATAACAAATCATTAAAATTACAGAAACTTTATTTATTATTTCGACGGTAGACAATAAATATCTAGTTACTCCATCTGCTTTTATAAACCACATAACTTCAGTCTCTTGAATCTTTAAATTGACAGAATGACTAACTCAAATTTCAACATTTTTAAGTAATGTCATATTAGTGATATTTCTAGTTGGAAAAGTTATATCTATGCAACCAGGGAGTAAGTTGATTCCAGAGTTGAAATATAGAACTGTGAATTAAGGTATAAATTTTGCCACTAGAAACATCACTAAAATTAATAATAAAGAATATTAAAATTGGGATTAGTCATTCTGTCAACTGAAAGGCGCATATATGCTTAGAGAGGTTTGAAAGTATATCTTTATATTTAACCTACAAATGATTAAGGATCGTAGGACTATTAGTTATTAAGCTGTTATACTCCATTATAAAGTTTATTAAAATGAAATTACGAGATTTTCATTGCTTGACATGGATAAGTCAAAAGTTGTCACACTAATTTGGATAATGTAAGGATTTCACAAAAGGAAAATTCATCAAATTATTCACTAATTTAATTTTCTAAAAAGTTACTTGATGATTTTTTGGAATAAATGGACGAAAAATATTATTATACTTCACTTCTTTCACCCAAGTCGCGATTTATGTTATTTTTTTCGTCACTCTCCGTTACCTTCTACAACTTTCAATATTAGACATTGTTTTTTTGTTTTTTTTTAATTCTTCGCTTTCCAATGATATATTATACTTATACCTTCTGACAATTATATCAGGATATTCAAGTTAATTAATATTGACTTGTCCTTTTTCGGTAGGAATATTCTGCGCAATACTTTATTTTCAAAAACTTTAAGACATTGCTCATCCCTTAATGTAAGCTGCCATGTTTCGTATTCATAAAGAACCTAGGTAGGAAAATGGTTTTGTAAATTCTAATTTTTAAGTTTCGGGACAGGAGGAAAGAACGAAGTAATTTTGACAAAGAAAAATAACAAACATTTCTGGCCTTCAGCCTAACCTTAATATCCTCTCCAATTTCATTTTATCTAGTTACCGTAAACCCTATATACCTAAAATTCTGTATGTGTTCAAACACATTCCCTTCTACATCAATATCATCGTAATTGTCGCTGTTTTTGCAGCTAATCATACATTTTGTTTTATCCGTATTTATGTCGAGTCCTAGTTCTTTACTAGCTTCCATCAGCGTTGTATTTAGTTTTATTGTTTTCATGTCTTCGTTTAACAGTACCAAATCATCAACATACCCAAGCACGGATATTATTCCACCCAGATTCACACATTTTTCGGTATGTATCACCTCTCTAATGGCATGTTCTAATATCAAATTAAATAGAACAAGTGAAAGAGAACCACCTTGTTTTAAGCCCGAACGAACCTCAAATTTCTCGGATAAATAATAAGTGATTCTAACTTTATTGAGTGTTTCCGTCAAGCACATCCTAACTGATTCAGTAATTTTTAGGAGATCTCCTGTTCGATTAGAATATTATATAGCTTCTGGCGGTCAATAGAGTCGTAAGCCTTTTTTAAATCAATATAGAGCTGGGGAACAACAACGTTGTAATTTTTTTTCTAATATTTGTTATAAAGAAAATATTTTTAAAAAAATACATTATTAAAAACAAAATAAATGGAGATATTTTTAAAAACATGTATTTCATTCATACATACAGCTACATAATATGAAAATGGAAATAACATAAAATATTAAATTTAAAAGAACGATGAAAACATTTACACTTTAGAGATCAGTTAAAATTACTGTAATCATTCAGTAATATATAATAAAACAGAGTATCAAATCTTATCAAGCAAAATTAGCACATCCATCGGACGACTAATTATATCATTTAAATGTTAAAACTAATGGAACAACGAAGAATTTTTTAATAATACAAATAAACAAAAAAAAAATTATAATAAAATGGTATGATCGAGCTCCAATTAACACTGAACCTCTGACAAAATGCATACAATCTCAAGTAATTTAAACACATGGTATAAAACAAAAATAAAATAAAAACATGTATAATAAACATCTTTGTAAATAAATATTGCATCACAAATAAAACGTTATCGTCAGCCCGACGAGGGGTTTATTTACAAAACGTTCATAGAACTGTTAGGCTGTTATGTATTGATAAATGTTATCAGATCAAAAATTACAATACACATGTAAAATAATTAACTTTGAACTTTGGATAGATTGAAAAAATCTTAATAAACAATAATTCTAAAACTATTTTCTATACAAATAAATAGTAAATTAAACATAACAGCACTAACATTACTACCAACATATCATTAATATCAAAGGATTTAATCCTATGTCACATCAAATATACATATATATATATTTGTATATATGTATATATTCCTTTTTTTTATTTTTTTTTTGCTCTATATTTTTTCAAACATTAAAGAATTGAATGAAAACGTTCTGACATCAAATATCAAATTAGAAATAAATATTTGTTCTCAGAATCCAAATAGGCAAATATTCATAAACTTAGTTATGTACATTTTATTGTATCAATTATTTTAGTTTGGCATGTTAGCTTGTCGTCTCAGGAGGATGTAGATCTTCTCTTTGATCCAGTCTTTGTTATACGGTGCATAAGTATTGGTGCCTTTCTGATATCTAGAAAAAAACCAAAAACCAAGACTTCAAAATAAAGGAAAAAATCTGGTGCGTCAATTTCAGATCAAATAGGGTGAGTTAATTTTAAAATGTATTATTAGTTCATAAGTTATTAAACTAAAAAATTTGGTGTGGTGTACGCACCACACAATTTTCACTTACAATACAGTACAGTACAATACAATACACTACAAAATATTATTAACAATAATTGATCTATATATTTCAAAATTGTCTAATGTATTATATTTATATTTGATTTGTTTTTCGGCACTTAATATTTATATTTAAAACTGTATCTAGTTCTGCCATAAATACTGTTACTAAAGTTGAACTTTATTTAATCCTTGGGTATTATTTAGATAATCCTTACCTCTATCAGGTTATTTTCTTTACATGTCAGGATAATAATCCCAATTAGTTTATATTTTTCTTTTATTCAATTAACATGGCGTGGGTTGATAAAGAAAACCGAATAGCTGTGATCACCTTACACAAAATTGGAAAATGTAGGTCAGAGATTTTCAACACTTTGAAAACTGTGGGTACCAGCCCTATGTTCATATGCCGCACTATAAATAGATATAATGAGACCCTATCAGTATATGACAGACCTCGACCTATGACTGTCCTCCCACTGTGAAAACAGCAAATGCAGTGAGAGCAGTGCCTGCTCAAATCAGAAGAAATCCAATTCGAAAACAACAAATCATATCTAGGGAAATGGGAATCTCTGTCAGATTAATGTCTCGCATAATAAAAAGTGACCTCAGGATGGGTCCATTTCGAAAAATGACAGGACATAGGCTAACCTCTTCGCTAAAAAAAAAAAATCAGAGTGGATAGATGCAAAGTGCTGCTGGTTTTCCAGTAGGATTCCGCTCCAGCTCACAAGGCCAGGTCAACTCAGCAGTGGCTGCAAAAGAACATTCGAGAGTTCATCTCTGCCTCAGATTGGCCCACAGGAAGCCCTGATTTCAACACTAACTAGATTATCCACTTTGGTCCGAACTGAATAGGATGGCCTGACACAGAGCACACCCTAACTTGGAAAACTTCAAATCTCTGGTCCAAGCAGTTGAGCGCTTTCCTCAAGAAGTGCTGCGTGCTGTTATTGATGATTGGCCCTTGAGATTAAATGCACAAGTATGCCTGTGTCAAGGCAAAAGGGAGACATTTTGAATATTTTTTTTTTTTTTTTTATTCTCTTTAGATATACCTGCCGTCCTCTTGGTATTATTTTTATTGGTCTTATCTTCATGGTTTTAAATGGGTTCCGTTCCTGTAATGGTTCATACAGCAGACAAGTCTGTACCACCTCAGATGTCTCTTCTCTACAGTTTTCATTACAAGGCTTACAATTATAAATCGCTAATCCTCTAATTCCAAACACAGTTCCTCCGTGTTTTACCCACAATTCTCCTAAAGAACTTTATTTTCGAGGCAGTGATACAGCTTAGAAGCATCTCATTCATAATTAGAGAAGTACTGACAGAAAGACAGACTTGAATAAGTTCACCACCCATAAACACTGCTCGAAATATTTTCAGTAGTATGCATTTCAGCACATGTCTTCTTTCACAAAAGTACAATATTATAGTTTTGAAAATTTCTAGTAATACAATTTGGTGCATCATATATATTTTTGAGTTGTCAACCTTAAAATAACTTTTTTTTTCAATTTCAAGCCTTTAGTTTCTTTTAAATTATCTAAAATTATAAATAATTAATTGCTAATTTTAATTGAAGTATTGACTATCTGGATAGACAAAACTGCTCATTTTATTTTTTAAAAAAAAAGTTATGTGTCCATTCACACCACTTTCCTACTTTTTTCCTGAAAATCAATCACAGAAATGATAACAATACAATTTCTTTGATGAACTAAAGCAATGTGAACAGGAACGAAAACCATCATTAAATCAGGTTATAAAATTCAATACTGTTACTGCTAAAACTAGTCCAATTTAAATGATCCTTTTGACTCATTTTCAATAATTGATTGATTCTTGTAATTGACAAAAAAAAAAAGTTGACCTCCACTCAAAATTTGAGGTTTTGTGTTTCAAGATGATAAGAATATGAAAAGGAGAAGTTAATCAGTTTCATTCACCATATCTTTTACATCATCCAAGATTTTTCTCGAAGTCTACTAGATCGATTATTTCTGGAGATTCATTTTCAACCTGGATGAGCATTTTTCTTTTTTTTCTCAAGTTTCCAAATATCATATTCTTTCAAACTTCATATTTAGCCAAGCCACTTTTTTTATAGTTACTGTCAATAAAAGAGAGTTAATTTTTGAAAATTAAACATATTAAAGTAACTTTAGAGGAAGACGCATATCAACATTGGGTATTTAAGCTCTGTAAAGTGACATCAATGGGGACAAGACCTAAATAATATTAAAGACCACTTAATTAAACAATAATACACCAAGTTTAATCAAAATCGTCAGAGCTGTTTTTGAGAAAATTGTAAAAATGTGTTTCAGCGTTGATATTAAGTGGCACTTCCGGTAAGCCGATTTTGAGGAAAAAGTTTCTGCCACATCTAAGGCATATACCTATCTTAAATACATAATATCAGTTTCGTACGACTGTTGGTTTTTAAGCTAGACTGTCTGCATACACACAGACCATTTTGCGGGACTTGGTTATTTGGACTCAGGGGACCTCAAAACGTGTATTTTCATTGAAAACTCAGATTCAAAAATTTTCACGATTGCAATACTTGTCGTTACTATATATTAGATATATAGATAAGTGAAAGTAACAGACTTTCCTCCTTATATATAACGCATAAACAATTTGTAAACTGTCAAGCCTTTGGGAATAAACTTATCTATCTGAATATAAATATTTTAAGAAAAACATACACAAGGCAGGAGAGATCGGCTAGCTGATCAATGAAGTCAAAAAGCTGGCTTATGTCATACGTGATGGCGGGCGTGTTAGGATTCTGCTTTTTAAGGTGCTCTTCATAAATCTTGCAAACTCCTAAAAAATAGAAAAAACAAATTTATGCATAAAATTCTACTCGTATTCTCTTAATAACTATAAACAGTGTTTAGTCCACTATAAACAAATATTTTTCTGTTTATTTTAACGTGGTAGACCATATTTAGACTATTTTTGATTGTCTGATAATGCTACTCTGCGATTACACTAATGATTAGGTTAGGTTACATGTCAATAATTTATAGTTTAGTATCAAAATATTTACCTTAAGTTAGATTGAATGAATGAGAAATGCTTTATTAAATATACATAAATTATAAACTTCACAAAGCATACAGAACATTTATACTTCTTAATTATTATTTATAAAACATGATTATTCGTCTGGAGGAAAGTTAGATTAAATATAATTGTTTCATTTTAAGCAAAATATAAGAATAATGTATTTTCTTAATTTTTTAAGAACAAATTTTCACTGACAGAATCGGCATGAAATAAATAAACATCTATATGAAAATCAAAGGAATATGAAAGTTTTTTTTTTATTGTCTTAAGTGCCCAAGGGTTCTCTTTTGTTTGCGTTTTTTCATAGACTTATGTTAAGGATTAATTAATGACATTTTAATTTTCAATATTTGGAAAGTATTCTACGGTATCAAGAAAGCTATCGCTTGATTTATGGTAGACTTATTCATTGTCTAGAAAACAGTTAATTTTAGTACACTGAAGTACAACACTGGTACATTCTGTGGGAACTTGGCTTGGTCTTGATGTTTGTGTTGAAATCTTAAAAAAACATCATTAGTTCCAGTCTCGATTCGTAAACTTATCACCCCTATAGTTTTGAAAACTATTTTTTTCAATGACTTCCATTAGAAATACATATATATTTAAAGATTGAAATTGGGATTCATCAATTATCCTCAAAATTCTCTTTCTATTGACACTATATTTACACTTAGGGTCATCAGCCACGCCTATTTCGTAAGATGACTCCGAAAGACAGTCGTGGCCAGCCACCACGTGGAAACAGGCTACTGCATCTTTCCTTGGTAGGTCAGCTTGTAACGCTTTCCTTCTACCTTGTATCACGCGTTTTTAGTGTTTCCTCCTTCACTAGTACCTTTACCATTCACCGAATTGAGTCGTACAATTTGGTATAGACCAGTTGAGGCAAATCTGCTCCTCGCTTGACAAGAGCATCAGCTTCTCTGATTCCTATACGAGCAGGTACTTCATGTACAAGTGTGATAAAAGTGATCCTTGGCACCATTCATTCTGACATACCATTTGTGAACTGGAATCAAGATAGACCATAAGATAACATATGTTTTTTTTTTTTTGTCTACCATAAAGGAATTGGAATTGAACGTAAAAGGTCCATTCTCTAACAGAGACGATTCCTCCTGTTCACATAATGAAAGAGAATGAGACTAGTAACCATTGATTACCTGGTTCGGTTACCTTCGATTGATCATTATAAGGGGTATTAAATAACTACTGTATGGTACAAAGGTTGCAGTGTTTAACAAGCTACACACCCATCATCCCTAACATTGGTCTTCAGAAAATAAATTATGATTCAAAAGATAGATGCTCTCAGGTGACTTCAGCACTTCACGACTAGTGTGATCATGTGATCTTGTAACGGTACTAGTTCACAAGAGTTCCGCACGGATTACGCATGGTTCACAATCACTACGGTCACACGTGTTCCTGGTATCCCGAATGCGTTCGGTTTATCCGAAAGATAACGAAGGCGACCAATCTCTTGGGCCAGTTACTATTAACTTTCCCGCCATTTGAATAAGTACTTCTATATCCTTAAACATGTTCAGTTCTATAGCAGGAGCCGACTTACATTTAAATTAAGGTTTTCAATCATGAAACATGAATTGGACTTGTACATATATCATAGATGTGTAAAAAGAAACGAAATAGTAATTACCATTAATTATTTACATCTCTGAATTGCTATTTCACGATATTATTTTTTCTTGTTGATATTTTCATTATTCTTTATCCTGGAATTATCAGTATATTATAAAACTTTAATCTGACATTATCTTTCAGAAAAAAGCGTCTGTGACATCTTAATAGTGGACTCTTATATCTTAGAATCCAAAAATCTACAAAAATCGATTTTAACGAAACAATTTTAAAATCCCTGACAGATTATCATAAAAGCTATGACGTACTAGAAAATAGTGGTTCCGTATATCTAAGATTTCAAAAAAGTTATTTTAAACTTGATGTATATCTCAATCTGCAGGCATATGCTACAAAGCGCTCCCCTCCCCCCACTTGAAAATAGGTTGATGCTCGTGTCATTAGAATTCAAAAACATTACATAAACTAGTAGATGACAAACTAAAATAGGCTTGCTAACTATAATATAAAAGAATTATTCCAAACTCGATTGAAAAACTTCGAACAACAAATAAAAGATTACTTCAAATTATTTTATATGAAAATGGAAAAAAATCTGTAACAGGCCTTGAAGAAGAACGACTCAAACATTTTTTTTATGTATTTTTTCTTTTTTACTTCACAATGATTACCTTATTATAAAATTAATAACTGACTAATTAGTAAATACATATTCGTAATAAATTGTAGTAAGGAAGTTCCATGAAGGAATACGTTGTTTTGTTATTGTCAAAAATGCATGAAGAGGGGATGTGAAGGGTGATGGGGAAATAGTTGACGTCATAAAAGACGACTAACATTCGGCTGTTTTTTCGGCGATTTCTATGAACAAGTGTGATCGAAGTGATTGTGAACCACGCGTAATCCGTGCGGAACTGTTGTGAACTAGTACCCTTGTAACCATTTAACATCTTGGTGTGACATTAGTGAAGTAGTAACATGATTGACTTTAGAGGGAGACTTGGACATCCCTAACAGGTAATCCTATATTAAATTCTAAATTTAAAACATTCTATAGTAAATCTCAATAAGTATAAGAATAATGTAATGATAATTATATTAATCACTAAATATAATTTCTGTATTACAAGAAACTTAAATAAATATGCTCCCTAAGAAAACTTTAAAATAAAATAGAACTACATAAATTACAATAATGATATTATTGAAACTTTTGTTTACCTTCCATACATTCATTTATGGATTCATAATCCGAATATGTTCTAGTTTCTGCTTTGGGTCCAGGTTGAATCAACATTATTGTGTGAGACTGCAAAAACAATTATATTTAAGTATGCAATTTTACTGAAAATGTTATTAAACAAAACAATCGATTAGAGATAAATAAAAACAAATATTGGTTTAAGATGGGGGCGTTATAAAATGAATAAGTACAGGTTATAAAGCCGGGAATCAAATTTACTAAGAAAAGTCAAAATATCAACAAATTACTATTCTTTAAACTAAGCAACCTACCATTTTTAAGTAATCTAGCACAATCCAAGTAACAACGGGAAAAAACAATCAAGTAAATTAAACAGTTAACAAGCAGCAACAAGCCGAGAAGCAAACAATTCGACCTCTTGTGAGATCTCAATATGTCAATGCCAACTTAATGATACACATGGTTTTTATTGTTGAAATTTTAATATTATTATATATTAATTCTTTTCATTTTATTTTAATATTTAATAAAACATATTTTATTTTAATAAAACTATACCTTTTTCTTAATGAACAGGATAATAATTGTTACATGAAAGATTTTTTCAACAACAATAAACTTTTTTTTTTGGTACAACAATGGTAGTAATCACTCGTTTTCTGAAAGAATAAACATTTAAAAAGTTCGAAGAATAAGCTGCAAAAATGTGCATTACAAAGTCGTTTCACTTCAATAAATTTTATTGTTTTTTGTATCAATAAATTATAATTATTAAATGTGTGATCTCGCTAAACTTATATTATATCTTATATTAACAGTATTTGTTGGCAACTAGATGATATAATAAAAGAAATTCGTTTAATGGTTACCCATAAAATACAATTCTACTAATTATATTTGCTTCTTAATCAAAATTATATCTGCATAAAATTAATCAGCTGAAATAAACAGATGTTCATTTGGCACTATGCCAAGAGAGTCGACAGAAATGCCAGATCATTTAAAAGAAAGCTGTTGAAAACATTAAGTACATACATACACAGTAAATAGAACTGAATAGATTTAAGTTAAACTATTAATTATTAACTAAAGATTCTGGATGAGACTGAAGACAAACCGGAGGTATGTTGTTTCAACTTTAACGTAGAAGTTTTCATTGTTTAATTTCTTTTAATGAAAGAAATAACTTATTAATATTAATAATTTGGTTCTTACAAAAATTCTAAATAAACTATACTCTTAAGATGCCTTTAGAGGAGAAAATAGCATCGATGAGTATCACAAGCGGATCGAGGATTTAATTTTTTGGGAGGGGGCTTCAGCCCGAAACCTTTTTTTTTCATAAAAATAACGATAATTACTTTGGAAAAACAGAAAGAAACTAACTACCTATATGAAATGATGTTTAAGTTATTCCTTAAATACTTTTAAATGTAATTACACAAACAATAATACTTTAAGAGGTATTTTTAAAAATTTTTTTTCTCCATAAAACATGGTTATATTTTTCCATTTGGGGGGGGGGGGGAATTCAGTCCGAAAGCTCCCCCTCCCCGTAGATCCGCCCGTGATGAGTATCAATATACTCTCTAGTCATCCTCAAAGTTGATGCTATTTTGTAGAAATAGTCGATAATTTTCCACTATCGATGGTTCAGTAACTTCCCGACACAGACTTAAAGAGGATTTATTTTCGCTTTATTCTTTCGTTATTTAATTTAAAATGCTCCACAAACTTTATAATAATTAACATTTATATTTGATACATCCTTAAAGATTTACCTTAAGGCACTAATAAAAATTATTGACGTGAAAATACATTTATATAGAAATATAAATTGTATTTATTTCTCTGATTAACCTGACAAATAGCTAGTATTTTTTTTAACTATTTGGTAAGAGAAAGGCTAGAAATGCTTATGTCTATTAATTTTCTAAACTTATTTTGATAATGTCACTTAGTTTAAAATATAATAAAACTGTAATGGCATCCTTGTAGATTTTATAAATATATTTTTTTTATGAGAAAATAAATAAAATAAATGAGGTAAATGTTAATTCTTTTTTTCCATAGACATAAATGAAGGTGTAATAAAATATTTCTGAGAAAGTAATATGAGATTAAAATAAATTAATTTTTACCATGAAGGCTTCTTCTTGTTCAATTTTAAATATGGATAAGAAAAGCTTTAAACACGCCTACACATCTCCATGCGTTAATTTTTTAATATGGCGTTTCCATTATACAATAACAATTTTCTATTATCAAACATTTAATTTTATCTACGTTGCTACCTTAAGTGTAAACCAATATATCTACGTAGACTTTGTTGAAATATCTTAATCGATCTTGTGTACCTCTTGCTTCAGAAAATAAATTCACATTCTGAAAATGACATCTTACTCTAACGAAATTTGTTGATGAAGCCGCCGGTTTGTTCTGTTTTTTATTTGTTTAACTATATTGAGGAAGCCCTCGAATGGAAAGGAAAAGCAAAGCAGTCAAGAGGTGTGTATTGCGAAATTATTTTCAGGTAAATGAATCAAATTATGCATATTAAGTATTAAAAAATATACACTATGCAATATATATAATATATACACTATAATATATAATATATATACACTATATAATATATACACTCTCTGAAAAAATAAATTTTATACACAGGGTCTACCCTCAGAGGCGTCTGAAAAGAAGATGGTCTCGAGATCTCCTTTTGTAATTACATTTTTAGAGTGCTACCAGTGGTTAGTTTCTCAACAAGTGGTTTCATGTTATTTTATTATTTTGTTCACATTTACTGAATGTATTTTTATTTGTAATACAGTTGTAAATATCATCAATAAAAAATAAATATATATAAACAGGGTTTTCCGTTAGTAGAGAAAAATATTTAAGAGGTTGATAGTAGATCTCAAGATGTACAAAAGTAAACAATTGCCTGATTTCCAGCAGGAAATTGAATTTTTTTTTTTTTTTTTTTTTTTTTTTTGTGGTTAGTCGCGTTTTTTGTTGAATCGAAAGCGATAATTAAAAAAATACTTAATTTGAATAATTACCAATTGCTTCGCAATAAACTAGACAAAATTTAATTTGAAAAAAAAAATAGAGTTTGTCTTTGTTAAAACCATTTAAAAACAATCCTTTTGAGCGAATAAACTAAGCCAAGATCCGTTCTTTAAAAAACTATAAATTATTGACGATTTTATTTTATCATCATCAAACTATACTACAGATATCTCACGGATAGATAAAATTCTTTGATTAATTATCTTTAGTCCATATTAATTAACGTGAGGTTTATTAGGCAAAAACTTGATATTCACCTCAAGTTGTGTGCAGAAATGCTGTGATTTTATAATTTGTCACATAAAATTACCCATGTTTTCATCAAAAATAATTACAATAAATTATCACAAAACTTTAATTTCTTTTTGTTTTCGATAACGTGAGGTGTATAATAATCATTATATAAATAGGCAAACATAACGGTTCAGCCCCTTCTTCTCAATTATTAAACCGATTTTCTTCCTTCTTGTTTTCATTTAATAATTATTGACGAGCTTTAGTGTTATCAATAAATAAAAATATTAAATAGTATGTGAATAAAAATATAAATGGTAGTTTGTTCAAAACAGCCAATCTCTGTAAGTTCTTCACCGATTTTTTTGAACTTCATTTTTTCTTTTTTTTTCTAAAAATGACAAAAGTTGTCATAACTTCGATATGGCACTAGTTTTCTAAACAAAAATTTGCATGCATTTAGGACCCTATAATATACACGAAATGGCACAAACCAGAGGCCCGTAAATAAATTAAGCTTGGAGATAAAAATACAATTATGTTTGGAGTTTTTCTTTATTTATTAGTTATGAGGGCGTTAAATTTAAGTTTTTTATATAGGCTTAAAGAGCAACAACTTAACTTTCCAACGGTTATAGAAACATTAAATTGAGTTTTTTTTAGTGAAAACCATGTAAAAAGATTCTAATAGAGTGGTTTGGTATCCATGGTAACCAGATCACATCATCTACCAATATCATAAATAGGCAAACACAAATCGGTTCAGCCCCTTTTACTCCTCTATTATTCAACCGATTTTCTTCCTTCTTTTGTTTGTTTAATAGCTATTGACGAGCTTTAATGTTATTAATAAATAAAAATATGAAATAGTATGTAAATTAAAATATAAATGGTAGTTTGTTCAAAACTGGTAATCTCCGAAAGTTCTTTAACTTTTTTTTAAAACTTTGACACAACGTCGCAATAATATTTAGAAGTGTTTTTGTTTACGTTTCATTATCATTGGGCCTTTCTTTTCGAAATTGTGGCAGAAAAACGTAATTCGCTTTAGACTGTAGCGCCAATACGGCTTCAACTATTTCAATGAAACTTGGCTAAAGTATTCCCCTTGAAACCTACATAATTTATGTATATGACATACTTTGCCGAAAACAAGATGCATATATTTTTATGATGAATTTAATATTTTATTTGCGAATAACTCAAAAAGTACACGTTTTTTATTGATAACGCCAATATTTATTTGAAATCTTTCTGAATTCCCTACAAAATAAAAAAAAATAAAAAAACCTTTGAAATTGATAAGAATTATCTCTGAAATGAAAGAATTCGTAGCGATCTTGAGAGTAAAGTGTGTTCAAATATTTGTTTAAGGATTAAAAAAATTGAGATTTTTATTTCGCACTTCGATAAATCCCCAATTACCAATTTTCACTGGAATCGAAAAATAAAAATTTTCAAGGCAGAGGCCTTCATTTTTTTTTTTCTAAAAATCAAAAAAGTTGTCTATAACTTCGATATGGCTCAAGTTATCCAAACAAACATTTGCATGCATTTAAGGCCCTATAATATACACGAAATGGTATAAACCAGAGGTCCGTAAATAAATTAGGTTTGGAGATAAAAAATAAAAACCTTAAAAAAAAATTGGAGTTTTTCTTTATTTAAGAAAATATAAAAGTTGTTTATATAGGCTTAAAGAACGACAACTCAGCTTTCCAACGGTCATAGAAACATTGAATTAGGAGAAAATCATGAGGAGTTATGAGCTTTTTTAGTGAAAAGCAGGTAAAGCGATTCTAATAGAGAGTGGATCACTTCATCTACCAATATTATTAATGATGTAGAGATGGTTGACCGTTGATATAATATGAGTATTGGTTGATCGGGAGGAGCGGTCAAATAAATAATAAATTTTAAAAAAATACTATTTTTAATTATTATGCCGACATTTCGACCCACCTTGCAGGTCTTCATCAGGGCTACAAAAGATACAAAACATGGTGAAAATAAATGAATATAAGTAGATATAAAATAAGAATAAGATGTCTGATACAGAAATAAAAAGATGATATCAGAGATATACTGAATGACAATGTATTTAAAATATCAAGTATTATATGTAGAAGATACAAACAAAAGTGGAAAATAAATATGAATAAAAATAGAAAATAAAGAAGAATATTTGAGGAGAATATAGAATATAGAGAAAATATTTTCTATTTTTATTCGTATTTATTTTCCATTTTTGTTTTTATCTTCTACATATAATACTTGATATTTTAACTACATTGTCACCCATTATATCTCTGATATTATCTTTTTATTTCTGTATCAGACAACTTCTTCTTATTTTATATCTACTTATATTCATTTATTTTCACCATGTTTTGTATCTTTTGTAACCCTAAAGAAGACCTGCAAAGTGGGTCGACACGTCGGCAAAAATTAAATAATTCTATTTGTTTAATTTAGTATTAATTTGACCGCACCCCCCGATCAACTCCTTCTCATACCAATATCATTATATAAATAGGCAAACACAAATCGGTTCAGCCCCTTTTACTCCTCTATTATTCAACCGATTTTCATAATTGGTAATTGGTTGACTGTCGTGGATAATGAATAGTCGGGGTGCTCAGTCAAAAAAGGAAGGCAAAAAATAAATTATAATATTTATTTTCTACCGATTTTCCATTTATAATTTTAATATTAATGATAATATTAAATATTTAATATTAATGATAATATTAATGATTTCCATAAATTATAATATTTATTTTCAAACCGATTTTCTTCCTTCTTTTTTTGTTTAATAGATATTAACGAGCTTTAGTTTTATCAATAAATAAAAATATGAAATAGCATGTAAGCAAAAATATAAATGGTAGTTTGTTCAAAAAAGCTAATCTCCGAAAATTCTTCACCGATTTCTTTTAAATTTTGACACAATGTTACAATATAAATATAAATGCATTAACATACTGTATATTTAAAAATAAAGATAAATGAAAAATGAATTGTCTATTATTAACCATCTAAAGTGGTAATAAAAATGTCTCTTTTTACTAATATCTCTATTACAAGAGTTGATCCGCTCTTCCAAGTGACCAACTAAATATTTCTGATTTTAATATTTATGTGGTCGTGGAAATAATTGAAGCACCCAGAAGATTTCTTTATTTGAAACGAAAGTTTCATAAACTCCTAAATAATCATTTGCTTTCAACTTGAACAGTCAAGAAAAAAGGTGGTCTTCAAAAATATTGAGATGTTTGATGTGACTTACACCTCCAAATTGTCGAAATAACGAGCTTATATAGGCCAAACGGCCCAATATTTTTGTAGGTAATTTTTTTTTATCGATTTTGTGATCAAATTATCTTACGATCCAAGTAGAAAGCAAATGGATATTTACGATTTTTTAGTACCCAATTGAATAAAGTTTGCCGATCTCCAGATTGAAAACGCATTCATTGCGTTTAAGAGAAAAAATCATTGTAGTTTAAGAGGAGATGAAGCTATTTATGAAGTTTCAAGTGGATGTTAATAATTTCATAAAACGAGGTCTGTAACACAGACTAAAACATTATGTGGTTTTGTATACGTCCCAGCTCATGAATTTTTGTTTTCAAACTTAAATTTGCATACAATTATCCAATTAAAATAAACAGATGTTCTGCATTTGGCACCCGTGCCAAAAGAGTGGCTACAAATGCCAGGTCAGTTAAAAGGAGGCTGTTGAAAACTCATTGTTCATTGTAGTCATAAGTTAATAGGTAGATATCAGTGATGTCTAGATTAAAGTATAAATAGTCATTTTAATGATACATTTTCGAAGAAAACGGGGGAAAACTATGAAGGTAGGTTATTTCAAATTTAATGTTGGCTTGTTCACTGGATGATTTTTTTAATGATTGATATTACTCGTCAATTATTAATAGAAAAATATTTTTGAAACGAAAAGTATAATGAAGGAAGATGTTCCAGGGTGGCTAAAATACCATTTAGGACCATCTATTTCCTTCATAATGGAACGATCAACTATTAAATATTCAATATGGCTCAAAAAATATGATGCATTTATCTTTTTTAAAGTTGAATAAATTTATATTTAAGTACTTAGAAAACCATTAAGATACCTTAGAAATTCTTTAAAAAATGTCCAAATAGTTTTCTTGTTTTGCTTCCTCACTACCGAAGGTAGGGAAGCATTGTGTTCGTGTGAGAGATTAAAAAATTTTGTTTGCTCAGAATCGAAAATTTTCACTCGCGTTTTACGTTTCAGACATCAAGGATCAATTTGGTTCGATGTCTGTCTATCCGTCTGTCTGTCTGTCTGTAGTCAAATCGATGTGACGGGCATATCACTTAGTACCGTTCATCCTATCTTCATGAATTTCCTAAAAAACAAAATCAAATTCGTTAAAATCGGACAATTAGGAGCAAAGATATGGTCTATAGTTTTTTTTAGATGTGCTATTGTAAAAGGTTTATCTTTTTTTTTTATTTTTGAATGTGTTACTAAAGTAATGCTATTTTTTAGCATATTACTAATGATTAAAAAAAAGTTTAGTCCAATAATTGGAACACCTTTTATTTATTTTTCTTTATAACTATTTAATGTTACTTTATATGTATAATTGTTTGGAAATAATATACCATAGTGAAATAATTTGCAGTGGATTTTTTTTCAAATTATCATCATATATATATATATATATATATATATATATATATATATATATAATCTTTCGGGCTGAAGCCCCTCCCCAAAATTTAATCTGGATCCGGTAGTGTATATCACTATTATCAGAGCAAAAGTTCGAATGTAAAAATTTTCAGCTTTAATTCTATGTGTTAATGGTGACATTTTGTAGTCTGCATCTGATATAAGTAGTCTGCTACTATGGAAAATAGCAGATGACAATAAAATATGAAATTATTCTAATAAAGCATAAAGAAATTATGAGTTTTTATGCACTCTTGTAAAGCAATAAATAAATTTGTACGTAAGACCTTTTGCACTAACAGTATGAAATTCATGTTCAGTATGCATTTTTTTTTTTTTTTTTTTATTAAACATAGTCAAGTATGGAATCTTCAAATACGACACTCTTTTGTTGAATGTTGAAGGGTAACTTTAATCGGCTATTCCGATTCTTCTTCTCTCAGAGTTTTTATTCTCATACGAAAAATTGTATACCTTGTAATATACAACGGAAACGGTGAGGAAGCTATACTGACCTTACTTGGCAGACGTTTTTTTCTATGAATTGAAAAGGTATTTATTTAAAGCGCTGGCGTTTTTTTTTTACTTTATTTGCTTTTCAACTATAATTGCCTCTTGGTTTACTATTTTTAATAATGAACCATTGTGATCGAACGAAAATTCAAAAACTTAAACCTCTCTCAAAATTTGAGATTTTACGTTTCAGGATACGTAGAATTAAAAAAACGAAAATTTTTTTTTTGTCCGTCCGTCGTCCGCGCATTTTCTCCGAAACTACTGGACCGATTTTTTTTTTTTCAAATTTGGATTTATAATTAGAGGTCACCCGAGGATGATCCTCTTTCATCGACATTTCTATCCACCTTTTCCTTTCAAGAAAACCTGCCTTGCTATAGACTGTAGCGCCTAAACGAACGTACCGGTTTCAATGAAACTTCGCTAAAGTCTTCTTCTGGATGTCCTTTAAATTTATCTATTTGACATACTTAAACAAAAAAAAAAAAGCTGGAAAATAAGTTAAGAGAGATGGTGAAATTATATTCCGAATAACTCAAAAAGTATACACATTTTTGTAGATATTGTGATATAACATGTTTAATTTTAATTTAAAGGTATTTAAATTTCCTAAAAAATGAATAAAATTTCATTGAAATCCAAGCACTATTAGTAAAGATATCGCGATTTTAAAATATTTTGGTTTATTATTTTTAACAATGAACAATTGTGATCGAACCAAAAATTCAAAAACTTAACCCCCTCTCAAAATTGGATGTTTTATGTTTCAGGATACGTAGAATTCGAAAAACGAATACATTTTTTTTTTTTTAATTTTTATTTAATGGCTTCATTTTTTTAAATACAATATTTGTTATAAAATAGAATGTATTTATACTCTTATGAGAAGTATTTACATAGCTGAGCATATATATTAAAGAAAACAGATAAGCAATAAGGTCACAATACTGTAAAATATTTGCTACAAACAATAAGTAAGAAATAACTAAATGAAATTGGAAAAGAACGATAAATTACTTTTGTTCTCAAACCATTGTAGTAAAGAAAACAATAATAATATTGATATTGTAATATTAAGTAATAATATTGTAAACAAATATTATTTCTATTGCTTCTCCCATAACAAAACCAATTGATTGTTTTTGAGATTGCTTCATAAAATGTTTATGATTAACTTTAATAACGTAGCTGTAATAACTTTAAAACGCTATAAAATTATGGTGGCTTGGAAATTTAAGATCGACATTTTATACGCATTTATAGTTACATTTTTACTTTTGGCCATGCTAACACTATTTCTATAAGGAATTTAATGTATACCAGATCGACTTGATATTGGTACGTACTATACTAAATATTACATTGTTTATTATATCCTCATATAATATTGAAGCTTCATTAAAATAAAAAGAACGTTTTCAATCTATTTTAAAATTTCTTCGCTAATATATGTTGCTTTTTAAATAATGCATTTTATATTTAAAATATTTGATCAAGTAATGTGGTTGCTGAAAAGCAAACACTTGGTATCTTGAGATAAGTTAAGAGCTGATAAGATTTAGTTTGCGTATTTAACCAATTTTTATGGAGGTTTGTTACAGTGACATGGATACACTTTTGAGGAACTGGATTATTATCAAAGGAAGAAGACATTGGAAGATAATATATAAAAAAAAAATATATCATATGGTGAGCTTATTATTATTGAGGACAAGTTAATGTTTTCGTGAGTAGATTATATATTTATTTTCTTAATAGTTTTATATTTAAAAATATGAAATTGTATGTATTTAATCAATTATTTCGTGTTTCAGGCACTTTTTATATTTGTCGTATGGATAGAGAAACCCTAAGAATGTTTTCTAGATTGAAAATATCTTAATGATTATCCTATTGTATTTTTTATCACAATGGTGTGTCTAACTTGATTAATGATAGTAACACCATCCAGTATCCAACAATGAAGACAATCCTTTTTACTATAGTTAATTTTTAGTATTCATAATAATTTATTTCAAAGATAAATTAAAACGTTGATATTTTTTTATTTAAGCATAGATTATTTAAAATTAATTTTTTTTTGTTGTTATGTTTTTTTTGCAGATAAGCAATGAACGGTAACACTGGAGAAGATAAAACCTCTCATTGATTTAAGTGTATTCCGCTGGAGCGCTAGTTGCCGCTTCCAAACTCCGTAAAATGTTACACATGTGATAAAAATTCTAATTTATAAATTTTTAACTCGGTTTTGTTAGTTTTTATTCGTTTTATTAGTGATTAGAAGGTTTAACTCGATAGTTGAAAGTTTAAATAAATTTATTTAACCGCTTCAAATGGGAGTAAAGCTGTTTCCAGTTGCAAGGTAGGTTCATATACCTGTCTACTGCAGCTTGTCAAGCCTTAACATTGATTATTTTTGCCGGTTTAATTCGGCACGGTGTTACCTTTCGTTTGCTACAGAGACCGGCAAGGTGATATGAATTGATAAACGGAGTTTTGGCAGTGTTTGTTTTAGCTATTGCTTTTTTAGGTTAAGCTTTCCAAATGCTTAATTTTTGGCAGCCTTTACGCGATTTGGACTTTTGCCATTTAGTTCAGCGAACTTTTACGCACATGTGGGGATTTTGTGCTCAAATTAATTCAGTTGGATGATACTTGCCAGTTGGGGGTGAAGGTTTGCAGTATTTACTGGTAGTGAACTGTATTGGATATCATGATTGTCAATTGGTGACTCAGGATTATATTCTATTTCTGTTATCATTAATTAGTGTTTGAACTGTTAGTTGTTTCTGTGCAGCTTGAGGGAAAATGCCACAAGAACCTGTCTTATCAATTACAGGTGAATCACTTTTGAATACCTGGGATGTTATCATGTTTTAGTATTTTATGGACATTTTTCCTTGCTTGTGTTTCTGTGACTGTTTAATACATTTGTTATGTGAGACTTCTATCCTTATTTTAGTAAATATTTGAGCTAGTATTTGCATTTTATGATTTTGAGAGAAATGGTTTTCCATGTTTTTTTATGAAATGTCCATTTTCACATTTCGGTTGTGATTTATTGGTGTTAATTTTAGTGAGTTATCATATGTAAAGATTTGGAATTGATCAATTTCCTTCATAACATCCTGTTATTGATTTTTACCTCTGCTAACCTCTAAGTTACCTTCTGAAGGGTGTGACAGGTCTTTTCCAACAGAATTGCTTGTCATCTGGGAGTAGTTTGGATATTATTGAGAAAAATAATGACCCAGATATTTCATAAATGGCTTTAAAAACTCTTTAAAGATAAAACAATCTAATAAATATACACGCCTTACGCAAGATATATATCTCAATTAATAATTATTAAGTTTGTAACATATAATGACACTTAATAATAAAATATTATTGTTGTTGCTATTTTATTTAGTAGAAATTTTAATGTATTTGATGTTAATTTAGTACATATACTATTACATCTCCGATCAGTTTCATATATGTACAAAGAAAATGATTGTTGATTAATTTAAATTAATTAATTAAGGTTTAATTAAATCCAAAGTGTGAAATTTTTATAAAAATCTGTGAAAGATAATTTACTGCAGTCAGATGTTGGTCCTAATCTTCTGCCCATATTTCAATCTTTAAATAACCCACTCGAATAAAAGTGAATCTTGCTTCCTCTTGGCAAGGGATATGATAATATTAATTATTTAAATAGATGCTTGTTGTAATATAAATCAATATTTATCATTAACAGTTATTTAATAAATATTAACTTTGAATTCAACATATTAAAAATTTTGTTATCTAAGATATGTAAAGTGATGTTTTCTATTTCATATTTATTGTTGTTGCAAGGACATTTAAACTGATTAATGCAACTCTATTTCCTTGAAAATTTTGCATTCTATGAATTCTTTCATAAGTATAAAAAGTGGTTATTTTTACTTCTCTAATGAGTAAATGGATTTAAAGTTTTTAGAAAAAGGAAAAAATAGTAATTGTTGATGGTGATCATGTAGTTTCCTTTACATTCTTCATATATTGCATCTTGTAATTCATTTTTTGTTTTAGTTTTTAACTTAAACTAATAAATATATATCAGAATGTTTCCTTTAATGATTTTTTAATTAATAAAATTCTTTATTAATGTTAATATCTGTAACTTACAAGTTGTTAATTATCTTTATATAATGTATGAGAGCAAGTAACAAAATGGTATTTATTGCACCTTTTACTGGCCGATTTCAGTCAATATGGCTCCTATCGGATTCCGTGGTGCTATAATAAATCTGTTTATGCTGTCAGTTTCATGACTTCATGAATATGATTTCATTGGAAGCGTAGACTGTACAGTTGAAAGATTTTGAGATAAACATTTTAGGTTCAATTATCGATGTTGTGAAGAGTGAAGAAAAAAAACAACTATTTACTCAAAAAGAAAAATCAAATTTTTACTAGGATATTGCAAAAATTAATTCTTACAATACATAATAATTTGAATAGTTAAAAGTATTTAAAAAAGGGTGATTAATTACATTAAATTACAAATAGTTAAGTTCTCATTTTGAATTTTTTTTTATAATTTATATTATTCTCATTCATATCCTGTAGCCACCATCTATAATTTCATTCTTCTTTTGCTGATCAATTTAATATTTTTCTTTTTATCTTAGGACAAATGTTAAAACTTGACTGTGGCCATATATTCATAGCAATTGCCTGGAATCGATATTTAAGCATTCAGGGATTTCTCCTGCCTTCTATGTTGTATTTTTTATGATTTTGAAGTAGTTCTGATTACAGCTATATTATCAGTTAATAAGTGGCTGACTCTAAAATATCAATTTTGACCAAAGGAAGTTAAATTTCTTTCTAATTGATCAATCTTCAAATTCCTTCCGATAAACTATGATGAAATGCCCTGATGAAGACCTACAACATTGTTCGAAATGTTGGCAAATGTAATAAAACACTACTATGATATATAGTATGCCTATTGATCTACCCCCCACCAACTTCTGAAATTACTTTTCGTTCGACGACAGTTTGAAAAATTAACTTGTAATTAATGTAATTTCACATTAGAATATCTTTCCACGACTTTTGGTTTAGACTCATTTATAAAATTTATAAACCAGTGGTGGACCAAAGTAATTTTTATTGATATAATTTTTCCATCCATCTATCAAAAATATTTACATGGTACCAAACTTTTTACATATTTGAAATTGCATTATTCTTTGGTAGAATATTTAAGTTTGGACTACTGACTTTTTTAATTTTTTTTTTTTATTATATTTTAACTTGTTTTTAACTTAGGGATAACTGAGTGAGTAAGGCACTGTGTTTAATAAGGCTTAGGTCCTGGGTTCGATTCCCATTGTGACAGAATATTATTTATTCTGTTATGTCAACCTTAGATCGCCCCAAGGGTTCGGTAAACCTTCCTAGGGCACACCAGGTCTCCATAATGTAGGTACAGTACTTTTAATTAAGAGGAAAATTCCTGGCGGTTATACATTACCTTCATCAAATTAACTCGATCATGTCTCTTGTTTTCCACTATGTCTTAAATTAAAATTCACGGTTCAATAGATGTATTTGGAGTTTTAAATACTGTTTTAATTTCAGTTTTTTTTTTTCCCGACGTGAGAGTGCACCACTGCCTCAAGAAGGCCTGTTGTGTGTCGTCCTAGACTCAATTAAAACAGACCAGATGTCTTTGCGGACCTTTTAATACTAATAGGATCAATCAATTCGCAGTGCGTAGGGTCAATGATACGATCACATCCAAAGTGAGGCAAAGGTATTGCATACTAGCCAGATTATCATATCTATAAATAATGTGATAGGCCGTTTTATCCTCCAGGTCACATCGCCTGCAGGTGGAGGTCTCACTTATATCCAAATTAAAAAGGTGCTTATTTAATTGACAGTGGCGAGTGTACAGTCCTGTCTATTAGAAGAATTGATTTACTTCTCCTGTGACACAGCCCTACTAGGAACGACTTAAAATGATTTTGTTTCCTAGTCTGTTCCCAATGTAGCATAAATTTTTACCCACGATTGCCTTAATATTAATTTCAGTTTAACTAGAAAAAAGATGCATATTAGAATCTTAATGATGATGTAAACAATCTTTATATATTATTTTTTCATTCAGTATTCTAATGTAATATATTTTTACAACAGGATGGTTGGCCGAAAAAGGAGATAAAAGCCAAGAGATGGACGGGGGCGGTAGGCGGAGGGGCCCTACTGCTGAAGATCATGCCCTAGATCAAATTGCGAAAGAGGTAAGGTGTTCTCGTTTCGATTCAAAGTATTTTTTACAAAGTTATTTCATTTATTAAATTGCTCAATTGAGCAATTTATAATTGAATTTGAGATTTTGTAAGGAGAAGAAATAATTTTTGTAACTTCGCCAAACTATTAAATTAAATTTTTACAATGAGTTTTTTATTTATTTGTTTTATTTAAGGGTTATTATAATTAGTTTAGCACCACCTAATCTGCTCCAGAACTTGACTATTATGAGAATTAAAAAAAGAAATTTATAATAATAGGTTAGTAATTTTAATAATAATGGAGGAAATAGTCTGGGGTCATCATTGTAATGATGAAAAATAGTAAATTTAATTCCTTTGACATAATTCAGAAGTTTATCATTTGTACGTTATTTATCTACATTATCTAATTGTATGGAATGTTTGATGTTTGACCTTGTAGATGAATTTTATTGTTGTCGATAAGAATACTCTTATCAGGACTATTAAAAGTTTTTAAAAATTATTTTTCATATCATATTTTTATGATATTTTGAATTTATTATCTCATTTATGCATTAAATGTGTTTGTTTACAATTTTATGGTGTTAAAACAATAAATTAATGATGAATTACAATGATTAGATTAAACTACCTCATCTGTGCAAATACTCCGCTCAAACCTAATATTTGTTCCTGATTTTAATAAATTAAGGCTCACCACAACTTCCATACAGTAATGTTTGATTCGCAAAGGTTTAATATGTATATTTACTCAGCCATCAGTTTATAAATAAGATTAACAATATGCCATTGTTTAATCATTGCGTTTCCTTAAACTTATAATTTAAATATTAGCTTTTTACTTCGTTAGATTATCATAAATTAACAAAAGCCTCTAAACATTGCTTTAAACATCTGATGATGACAAAAGGCTCAAATTCTCAGGAAGGAATGCCTGTTACTTTATCATTAAAAAAAAAATTGAAAGTGTATTTTCAAAATGATAAACTTCAATGATAAAGATCTAAAAATCAAAGCTTAATTAATTAGGAATCAAAATTACGATTCACGCGTTCTATACAAAATTCCCTTTCTACTGATACCTCATTCGTCCAAATCCATTGCTCCTGATAGCCGGAAAAGGGATATATATTTCAGAAATAATATATATAAGATATTTTTAGAGTTACGAAGAGTTTTATTTTCAGTCAAATATATTTATTTAGTGTTGATATTATTGATTAAGAATGGCTTAAGAGGAGACCTAACTCTAATTTCTTCATAACATATATTTCATTAAAATTGAATTTATTGTTTAATATTTTCTTCGGTATAGCATGAAATTCATTCTGAAATTATAACAATTATGATAAACAACCTTATTTAATATTAACCAGTTATTCATAAAATAATAAGATAATGACAATATTATAAAAAAAACATTAGTTAACCTTCCTTTTCAATTCTTCTATTCTATAAATAAAATTATTTCATGCAAACCATATTTTTTTTAGAATGAGCAATATTTGAATAATTTATAAAATTATTTGCCGTATAAATTACCATAATGAAATTATTATTCATTAGTGTCGAAGACGAATAAAAGCTCAAGTAGTGAGAGAAATTAAATAAAAGATCCCAAGCACATAGTCATTTTTCTCTAACATAAGATAGGTAAACAGTTAACTCGTTTATGTTTCGCTGATTATGGTATGTGTTTAGCTGATTTGGAGTGGTGTACTGTCTTTTTGGGTTGATGGTATGAGATGTGAGGTGTTTGATGTGTATATATGTGATCATTTTTCCAATTACATCTTAGTTATTATTAATTTATTATTCTTCAACTAAAAAGAAAAAACTTAATTGATTCTCTTTCTACATTTATTTGGAAATTTTAATTATTCTGGAAGTTATCAGTTATAACATCTATTAGTGTGTTGTTTAGTAAATTGAAATTGAGGTAAGTTAGTAGATAGCCATGAAGACTTAATCATCAATCATTTAAACATTCACGCGATGAGCTTTCAATAAATATAAAGAGACATCAGAGTTAAAGATAATCCTCCAGAAACTAATTGGTTGTTTTGATGAAATAACTTGTACAACATTACACAAGGATGAAAAAATAGTTGAACATTGCTGTTATTGAGAAAAAGAAAAGTAAAAAAAAATTTTTTATGCTGAGGAAAGACAAAATAATAACCAAACAAAACATGAAAACGTGTTTATTATACTTTAAAAAAATACAATGTAAAATATATACATACAAGCAACAACACAATGGAAAATTCTGTCTGTCGAGGTCTGTGTGTAATTAATAATAAATATTCATTACATTTATAACTAAAATAAATGAGTAGTAATATATCTACAGTATTATTATATATTTATACATCTATTCTAGCAATTTCTTATAAATCCAATAAATAAGAAATTTAATTTCAAAAATAATTATTATTAATAACAATCAAATACAACAAAAATAAAACAAACATTATAATAAATAAACATGATATTGTACAATGTGTCCTGCTGTACACAATTGCTTAAGGTTTTCCAGTTAGAACCCTTTAATAAACCAGATAATTCTTCTGGAGAACAGGTCTGTCGCCCTAAAGGTTTTTCTCTTATCTCACTGTACATGAGACAAATCCTTAAAATGTGAATGATATCCTCTATTTCTTGAGAGTTAAATAACATACAGTTATCGTTGCTTTCAACCATCCATGGTTTTACGCTTAAATCGAGCAATTCAGTCCTACATTAAAAAATTGACCCTATAGTCACAATGTCAAAACTATCATTAAGATAGAGTGTAACAGTGCTCACTGAACATAGTCCTGCGTAGATATAAAAACTTAAATAAAAACAATTTTTAAGGTTATTTTATTTTTTTTATGTCCTTTACCCTATCTCTTAATGAATTGTTCCACTCATTTCATCTTTGGAGCCCCCAAGCGCTCCCACTTCTCCGGCGACAATATTTCTTAGGTGTATCTTTACAAACAAAAAGCCATCTTACCTCGTTAATTTGTTTACTCCTTGTTCCTCTGTTCATTTGTTTAATATGAGATCCCAGTCCATCAACTTATTTTTTCCCTCTCATAGAACCGTTTCCTTTAAAAAAATCATTTGTCCTGCGTGCTAACTTTTTTCATGCTAACCTTCATACGTAATTCCTCTTCCTTAACCACATTTAAACAACAACTATTCTTCCACCTCAATCTTCTGAATACAAGTAAGAACAAAATCTTTTATTTAAGAGCTTTATCTTTTATTATATATTAACAAGATTGTTAATAAGAACAAATAATTGAACACACTTATATATATTTATGTGCAAATTAATTTGTTTACTTGTACTTAATTTATTTTAATTATAAGGTTGGATTATTATGTTATGTTAACTAATTATTTTTTATTTTCTTATTGTACCAGACAATTGTCATTTTTTTGTTCACTTTAGATATTCTTAGGAGACTAAATTACCCAGCATAAAATTTACTTTCTTCTTCTTCTACAGCTGATTATCTTATTAATCACCAAGTTTAAGCATCATATTTTATATGAGTTAATTTTGACTGGATACATCGAACCATGTGCTGGTCAATGGATGTTGTAAATATAAATAAAGATGAAGCTACTCCATTTTTATTGTTATTAAATAAAAATATTATTAATAATTAATCAGTACTATTTAATTATCCATTAGATTGGTCTATTCAACCATGGCTTCATTTTGTAATTTAGGTTAAGAAATATGGAAATTATGTAAAAAGCATTAAATAAATTTAAATATTTTATGAAAAGGCAATCCATGAGTGTGAATAAACTCAGGGTTGAAATAATTGTGTAATTATATATATATATATATATATATATATATATATATATATATATATATATATTTTTTTTTTTTTTTTTTTTCTATACAAGTATATACAGCTAGGAAAATAAGAAAAAAAAAATACAGAAATACTTAATCTTAAAATGTGGGGTGCTTTGACAATAGCAGAGGGGGGACACGAGAGTCATCTGGCGTTCAGCCAGGGCATCAGTCCATTTCCTGTATTCTTTTTCATTTTTGGGCGCCATTTGTTAAGCGATCTTAAGATCCTTCCTCTTTGTTATGAGAGATGGATTTTATTTTTTTTTTGTAAGTAGTGCATTATTGTAGCTAATATTGTAACTTATTTAAAAAAATAAATAAATAGATTTTTAAAATAAAAGCTAATTTAAAAAATATACTTGACTCCAAATACAAACATATTCAGAGGATACCTCTATCCAATTTTTAAACAATTTTCACCCCAGATTCAATATATTTCACTCTAAAAATGTTATCGTTGATTCAAGAAAAAAATGTTTTGTGACTCGATGAAAAAAATAAAAACATTTTAATTCTAATTATTTATCCAATGTTGACTTTTGTGCTCAAATTGTATTTCTTCATCAGGTGAATAGTGATTTGTTTCATAAATGCTTAATTGAGAAAATGTTAAATAAATTGTCAAATTGTACCATCGACCCCATCTCCCACAAAAAAAAAAATCAAGGAAGAAAGTTGAAAATTCCTATTAAATCTTTATTTATTTTTTCTCTTGTCAGATAATCCTAAATTTATTTCTCATGTTTTCTTCTGAACATTGTATTATTCTTTCCAAATTTAATTGATCATTATAAAATAAAATAATCATGATAGAAATTTAATTGTTACTATCATTATACAATAGAAAGAGGCCGTGATTACCAACAATATCAAAATTTCATGACCATAAGAACCTGTAGTCTAGATGTGAACCGGTGCTGAATCGAATCCGGACTTGGCGAGTCGAAGTTTATTTTATGGCATATCCTAAGAATGGATTCCGATCATCCCACTCTAGTTGGAATAAATTAGTTATATCTCTATAAAACCAGAAATGGCAAGTTGGGGTGGGTTAAAGAAGGAAACAGATATTTAGTAGAGTATTTCTTATTTCATATATTTTTTAAGTATTGTAATTTAATTTTAAGTTTCGTGGGTC